GGGAATGTTGGAGGGGAGGGAGTGGGCATGGATTTGATCAAAACACCTTATATGCATATATGAAATTCTCAATAAAGTTTTTGTAAAAATTTTTAAAAATCTGGAGCATCATCATATTTTGTTTAATGAGTAGAAATTGAATTAATAGAAATTAACCTAATTTAATTAACCTAATTAGTCTAATCTTTTCAGAAATTCATACAGCTCATTTTTTTCATTGGTACCAACTTTAAATTTATCAACAATCAATCTTTGCTTTCTTTGTTACAGGAACTTTACAGTGGTAGCAGAGACTGCAATATTCTTGCTTGGGTACCATCCTTATATGAACCAGTTCCTGATGATGATGATGATGATGAGGTAAATGGTATTTGTACACATGGTACAGTGATTTCTAAATTATAATTATGTATAGTTACCATATAATTATCATATTACTTATGTGGGAGAGACTTTTAAAGTAGTTCTTGCTATTATCTATACAAATAATTTGCTATCACACATCTGGAAAAAAATCAGAAAAATATTAAAAGGAGAACACGTAATTTTTCAACTTTGATAGGAGCATGTTTTATTTACTTGTTTTCCCTCTGTGTATATTTTTAAGATAATAGTTAATTCATAGATCTGCAACTTAGAATCTTCTCACATAGACACTATACAATAAGCTCTTTCATGTGATTAACTATTTACAAACATTTTTTAATGATACAGTCATTCTGTCATTCATGTCACAGTTTAAATATTTACCTGTTTCTGTTGATTACTGTAAACAACATCAAGGTAAATATATTTTCAAAAACTGTTTATAGTTCTAATTAATTTTTAGGGTAGATTCCTAGAAGTGGAGTTAATCTCTTTCTTTTTAAAAAATTGATTTGTTTTTGTGTATATGAGTAGTGTTTTGTGTGCATATATGTAAGTGTACCATGTACATGCAGAGCCCACAGAGGCCAGAAGAGGGCTTTGGGGCCCCTGGAACTGGAGTTACAGTTTTTAGGTGCCATGTGGGTGCTGGGAACTAAACCCAAACTTAGGTCCTCTGTAAGAGCAGCCAGTGCTCCTAACTGCTGAGTCAACCCAGTTCCCTCCTCTTTGTTTTTTAAAGACTATTAGCATTTAATAACCTCCCTATGTGCTTCAGGCCACCAGACACTGGTGTTCCTAACCCCTTTTTCTCCTCATCTCCTCTGTTGGAAATTTGGCTTTCACAGAGACAGGCTGCTAGGGAGCTTTCCCTTCTCCAGAACTCTGTAGTATCCAGATCACCACATCAGTGATGGGGGCAGCTCCAGCCCCAGTCTTACTCCAGGTAACATTTACCTGTGTCTACTCACTGACCAGTGTCCACAGTTTATCAAGGTTGACAGTTGGGCAGAAGCTCTGGTTCCTCTTTAAGTGGTAACACCTCATAGCAGCTTTCCCAAAGTAACCTGGATGATATTTGTCGAAGTTGATTCTGTGGTGAAGCATGCTGCCAGCATTACCCTGGCCTCCTCGGCACTTCCAGTGCTTGCTTGTGGCTGTGGTTCACAGGGCCCTAAGTTCCCGGTTGTTCCTCAGTTTTGATGGCATGGCAACCACAGACAGGAGAGTGCTGTACTTCTCTTTTGAATTATTATATAGGACATTTTAAAGTCTTTTGTTCACAGTGTCAGATTTGATAGGTTCACACTTGGGTCAGCAATCTTAGAGTATCTGTCTCAGAGGGTAAATATGACATTCAGAATAGAGAGCCTGAGAAGTTCAGTGAGTACTGCACAAATTCCTCTATTTGAAAATTTACAACAAGCAGTATTGTGGTAGTGTTTCTAAATGGATGTCTAGCAATACTATATTAATCTTTTAGTGCTGTGTCTCCCGATAGTGAAAGCAGAAAAAATTAACTGTACATAAAGAAGATAAAGGGCAGGTTTAATAGCCTTTAAAAGTAAATTCTGCTATTTAATAAAACATGTCTGAGGTGTTACCTCTTCCAAGAACGATTTTGTCAAGCAGTGTCAAACATCCTCAGTTATATTAGCCTCTAGGTTATAAAAAGTTTGTATAAAATAATGCTTGTTGGGGCTGGAGAGAGAGCTCAGCAGTTTAGAGCATTTGCTAATCTTCCGGAAGACCCAGGTTTACTTCCCAGCACCTACATGGTGGCTCATCACTGTCTGTATCTCCAGTTCCAGGAGATCCAGTGCCCTCTTCTGGCCTCCCCAGGCATTGTACACACATGGTGCACATAAATTCATGCAGGCAAACACTCATACACATAAAATAAATATTTTTTAAAATAGTGTTTGTATAATTTTTTAGGTTGGAGGTAATAATGTAATTAGAAGCACCTTAAGGCAATCTTAAAAGCATCTTAAATGGAGATAGAAGAAAATCACTGATAAAACAATTATCATCTTGTCATTCTAAGAATATTTTTCTTGTACTTAGTTCCTTTGTTAAAAAGACCAGGCATGGTGGTGCATGCCTTTAATTCCAGCACTCAGGAGGCAGGGTCAGGTGGATCCCTGTGAGTTCAGGGCCAGTGTGGTGAGTGCCAGGCCAGCCAGAGCTACATAGTGAGACCCTGTTTTTAAAAAAAAACAAAAGGAGGCTCATGTTGTAAGTCATTTATACCTGAATTTGCAACTGCTACAGCCAATGTAAAGCCTATGAGTTAATTACTTTTGGCCCTAGTCCAAATGAAAAAAAGAAAAAGCACATTCATAAATTTAGGCAGTTTGTCAAAACCAAATAAATATTTCCAGATACTATTATATGTCTAATTTAGTTTATTGTGACTTGATTAGTTTTAGCATACGTCCTCTTTGAATGACTGAATATTTTTCTGTTAAAATTTAATGTGGTTAAATAGTATGAGTTACACATTTGTTTTGAATTTTTACTTAATTATTCTGTTCTTTGGGAATTGCTAAATACATTAAATCAAAGTTATAACCTTGTGGAACATGTTGGAGCATATAACAATCATTTACCAAGTGAAAGTAATTAGAATAAATAAAAAGATAAGCTACTGTGAATTGCACAGGGAAAAAAAATATTAAAAGAAAATTGAGCCAGGCTTGGTGGCACACACCTTTAATCCCAGCACTGGGGAAGCAGAGGCAGGTGGATTTCTGTGAGTTTGAGGCCAGCCTGGTCTTCATAATGAGTTCCAGCCCAGCTGGCGCTACAGGGAGACCCTTTCTCAAAAAGACAAAAAAGAAAATTGAGTTTGTGACTGGTAGCTTATCTGTTTCTTTGTTAGCTATAGAGATACACAGAAACAATTTTGAAAGCAGGTATACTGACACAGGCCTATAACCCCAGCCCTTGAGAGGCTGGTGTAAGAGGACTGTGAGCTAGACACTAACCTGGGCTACACAGTGAAACCCTGCCTCACAAATCTCAAACAAGTTGAGCTTTATATTCATATTTAAGTGTTAGAACTATGAAGCCTCATCTTTTAACTTTGAGATGGGACTCGTTCTTGCTTGCTAAGTTTATTTAATTCCATGGAATTTTAGTTTAAAAGTCCCGATGGCTGTTGATATAAATCCTATGATCATGGTGTAAATCTCATGTTGAGATGAGATCATTTCCACATATGAATGTTTACAGTTTAACTCATATTCAAAAATGTTTTCCCTTGAGTTCCCTAAAGAGGCAACATGTGTAGCTCAATGTAATGCAAAGAACACACATACATACACATACACACTCCTTAGTTTTGGGTAAACCTGGGTTGAATTCTTGCTCTGCCCTTTATTAGGCTGTTCTGCCATTTATTACCAAGGACAAGCTTATGATAGTTTCTAATTGGCATATCAGATTGTCAAACCAAAGTTGTTTTTAGGTCTCCTTTGGAAGCTAAACATAATCCCTTAGGAGTGTTTTCCCTGATACTAAAAGTAAACGAACAATTTAATTCTGCATATAGAAACTAAAGGGCATTGCATGGTGGTGACAGGTTTTATGGTCTTTGAACAAGAATTCGGTTATTGTCAGGCTGTTTTATTGTATCTGAAGAATCTGGCTATTTGGTCTACATGCTTGTGATAAACACAAGTCCATCTATAACTCCTGATTACTTTTTGCTGCCAGAGATTTACAGGAGAGATACATTACAGTTTAAATCTTTTTATCAAAACTCCTATTTCAAGCTGAGTGTGTGACTGACTCACTGCTATAATGTCAGCACTTGGGAGACTGAGACAGGGGGATTGCAAGTGTGAAATCAGCTTGGGCTTTACAAAGCAGGATTCAGTTTTTTAAAAAGTTTGACAGTCCAACAGTAAATAGTTGTTTTCACTTTGTTCTTGTATAGCTGTGTCTCTTACTGACACAGAAAACCTAGAGACTTGCCAGTAATACCAGATGTTTGAAACTTACTGAGATGTATCCTTATAGATGTTAATTTTAGTTTTATTCTTATTATTTGGACATAGACGGGGTCACCCCTTAACTCGTCATCACCCCCATAACATTCACAGCTATTAGCCAGTAGAATATGAAGCAAGAAGGTAGAGAAGAGTGTTTACACAGTGACTGGGTGTCCACTAAGAGGAAATGCTTTAGAAAAAAAGTAGAGGAAGGTAGTTGCACTTCACTACAGCTTTCCAACAGATACATATGTACTAAATCCACCTGCAGTATTTTTTCTGTAGCTCTTGACAAGTATGGTATTTTATTTGTGATTGTTTTAGAAGTAAAATATACTAATAATATTTTGATACATTCATATTATCTGTGTTTTACTACCATAAATAGTAAAAGTTATATGCAAATATATCATGACTCTCATTGTTTCTTTGCTTACCATAGCAAAAGTAATTTATAATGAAATACAAATTTGTTTTTCTGTTGAATTTTCAAATGAAATTTAAATGCTTAATGGCTTGTACATTGGGCTTCTGTAGTGAAATTAGGAGACATGGCCTTTGTGTAGCTTTTCTCCCCCCAAGGACATTTTTTTGGTAGATGTCTAAGGCAGAGTTAAAAGTTTCTAAAGATAGAAGAGAATAGGTATCACCTAACTCCCAGGTGCAACACATCTGAGACTAAGCCTTCACTGAATAACCTATGGTGTAGTTAAGTTGTTGAGCTCCTGAGTGTTAAGATTATAGACATTACACTACACCCAGCTTAAAATAGGATTCTTTGGATAAGATTGGGGTCTGCTGTTCATTTTCCCAGTTCTATGCTGGGTTACTATTTGGGAGTCCCTTTGTTCACCCTGGCCAACAACTCAAAGTATCTCCTATCTGGCATTGTTGCTTATTATGTAGCCTTTAGCTATGCATATTGGCCCCTTTAATCTTTGGTTATACTTTCCTTTTGGGTGTTTAAGGCCATACAGTTGGCCCAGATAAACTGATTTATTTTTACTCT